TGTATCTCCATTATTCGAGACATGTGTGTTCGATAATTTATATATGCAATTAACCATATGGTATAGACACACACACACACACAATGCATTTTTCCTGTTAAACCGGTACAAAAAATAAGTTGAAAAATGATACGCTATTTTTGTTTTCCATCCTCCTTTTGTTTTTTTGAAAAATAATTTAATATTCTTGCAAAGTTTGCATTAAAAAAAAACAATGATCTTATTAAATGTCTATATCAATCGATTCAAATTGTTCTGACATGTTTTTATATGTTTAGAACAATAATAATGAGATTTTAAAATAATTTTTTTTTTTTTTTATGTTTTAGGGGTGATCCAGATAAAAGTGATAATTTTGGAAATAGTGCATTACATCATTCGGCAGAAAGAGGACACATACTTTGCGTAAGATTTTTAACAAATTTTGGTACGAATTTATGGTCTTTAAATTGTAATATGCAAACGCCAAAGGAATTAGCAGCTTTGAATAACAGAGTTGAAATATTGAAATTTTTGGATGAAGTCATGTCCGAGCAAGAAACGAAAAAAAGGTTTTTAAAAAAAAAAAATTTAAATTATTATTAATTAGATTATTTATGTGAAAATATGATAGTAACGAATGAATTTTTTTTATTTTTAGAAAAGAAGTCAAGTCTAAAAAAGAAAAAGCTCAAAAAGAAGCAGAAAAAAAATTAAAAGAATATGAAAAATTTCAAAAAAAGGCTGAAAAATATGCAGAAAAAGAGCAGAAACGTTTGGAAAAAGAAAGAGAAAAAATGGAAGAAAAGTAAGTTGAAGTTTTTTTTTTTTTTTTATTAAATATAAAAAAAAATAAAATTATTTAATAATAATTATTTAATATTTTAGATCTTTAATTGTTATGCAAGCGTTAAAAAATAAAACTGGAGTCGTGACAACTCCAAATAAAGGAAATACTGTCAGTCCTAAATTTTCAGAAATAGTAGGTACCGTCACGGATTCTAAAAAATTTGGAATTAGTGCCGTTCAAAAAAAATTACAGCAAAAAAAATTTGCTAGCCAAAGAGGAGATCCATTGCGAAGTGGTGATTTTAAGGTATTTTTTAATAAATTTATCAAATTAATTTAACGTTATTAATTACAGCAAAAAAAAAAAATTTCTTACAGGTAATCGAAGTTGAAGATGGGAAAAAAAATGTAAAAAATTTAACGGGTTTTCAACGAGATTCGGAAATTCTATATGTTTCGACTTTCGATAAGGAAAAATTAAATTCAGGATCGAGAGGAAAATTATCAGATGTTTTTAATAAAAATAGTGAAAATCAAAATTCTGAAGGACTTAATATAAACACTAATAAATTAATAGAAAAAAATTTACCTAAAGAACAATCGAGTATTTTTGAAAGACCTGGATTTG